TCTGTTGATGAATATATTCGACATTTCGGTCCCTTGGTTAAAATTTAAGATGGTATATATAGAATCCAATTGTGTTTGACCAAACACATTATGAAATAAAATACTTTCATTGAATCTTCAAAATCATTTCCTTCAAACGTATTTTAAACCATAAAAATGAATAGATTCGACCATTGTTATCTGATATTATTCTGGTCTCACATTATGGCGAATATTCTTGCCAATATGAATATTTGAATTTCGCTGTGAATTAGCCCAAAAATTGCGATTGGATAGTGAATATTTTCATCTCGGTCACCAGTCGATTAATTGATGAAATTTACTTGAAAAAATCGAAAAATGTTTCATAAGAGTAATTGACTTTGTTCTTGAAAACATCTTTTAAATTTTAGCTTTAACACTAAAAGGCATGATGATTTTGACAAAACTTGGTGTTATTATTCAGTACCGCGCTGAAGGTTGAATATTGGGCGAGAAGTATAGTATCTGTTATGTACTGATTGTTTTTAGTTTACTATGAACAATATTATCATTTAAGTTCTTATTTTTTGAATATGCAACTATCATATGAAGTTTGAATATTTCCCGTATAGTGTTTTCACGATCAGTTTGGGGGTAACAAACAAACACGATAAACTTCATTATGTGTTTGTGGCAGATTAAATATGAGTTATTAAACATATTTAATACGAAAGAACAAATGACAATTTTATAAACAAGGCTGTAAATTATATAAATAATATTTACAATATGTAAGAAAAAATTACAATTTATGAAACAATTTTGCAGTTTTTGGCACAAAAAAGAGGCCATGTCGTAACAACTTGTAAGTGTCATCCTTGAAGGAAAATGAAACTTAAATAGGAGATAAACAGGAAAACAAATACAAAGGACATATTTAAACCATGGCCTTAAATAAAGGATGTGGGTGGGTGAACAAACTATGACAGACTTAAACTGTGTTGCTTATCTTAGGTATATAACTCAAGTAGATAGCACCGCGTGAGATACTTGTTAGCCAATAGATGGGCAGTATTAGGGATATTGACCAATGAAATGATAGTTCAGAGAAGACCACTGTTTGTTAAAGGTGATCATTCTTTCAACCAGTCGGTGTACAGAATCAGACTTATTAACCAATCAAAAGATAGATCAGAATACTGATATCACTCAATGAAATAAAGTAACGTTGTTTACACATCGACAAAAATATACCCCACATTCAATCAACCACGTCAAAAGTAAATTAAAATTACCCTGTCACTAATAAAAAAATCAAAATGTCAAAATAAACATTGCCTCATTGTATACGGTATAGTGTTACCAGTCTTCATTACGAATCGGAGCAGAACAGTCGGATGTATAATATTAGGTTTATTTCATTTCAATTAGTTACGTAATAATACTATAGTTACTTAGTTCAGTGGGAAGCCAGTTCAGTTGTTCTCAGTTCATAACTGTTGAAATATTTATAACTATATCTATCTACATCTTATATCTATAACTAAACCTGTGAAGTTATCAGAAAACAATAACTGGTGATGAAACAGAATAAAGATTAGTTGAGTTAAAGAGACTAAGAGAGAGCAATAATTAGTTAATAGTATAAGGCCAGTGTAATGTAATTAGGTGTTTATAAAAACAGTAGTGGTGTATTTAGAGAAGATAACAAATAAATAAAACAACCAAGTTTCTTTAAAAATACACCCTATCACAGAATGTAGTAAACGTTTTTATCAGTTGTGGTTACGGGTATATTTTTTATTAAAGGTATAGTTTTCAATAAACTTCAACTCCATTCATACAATAATATAGTACATAGCTTTTGTGTTGGGTTGGAGTGATGTTATAGATTAGTACAAAATAATTTTGAAAAAGTGAAAACTTGAGCATGCATTCATTGCTCAAAACTTTCAAGCAAGCGTGAGTAAAATATAAGATATGAACGTGTATTAAAATTGGGTACAGGCGTTACTGTACAATTGAAACGGACCTAGTTTTATTTTAATTCAAATTTTCATATTAACTGCAGCATAACTAAACCAATAAATCACGTAGGCGCCATAAATTTATCTGTAATTCGGTAATTCGGTCGAGATGTCTTGTCTTGTGGTGGGGGTACAGACGGGGCATGTCTGTACCCAAACTTACCCCCAACTTCATTCTTTACAAATTTGACGCTTCCACAGAGACGCCGCATATTGA